CATGCCTGGCTAATTTTTTTGTATTTTTGGTAGAGACAGGGTTTCACCATGTTGGCCAGGCTGATCTTGAACTCCTGACCTCAGGTGATCCACTCGCCTTGGCCTCTCAAAGTGCTAGGATTACATGCATGAGCCACCATGCCCAGCAGAGATACTTTATTCTAGAGGCCATGTTAACAATGCACTTTAGTGAGCATCAAAGGTCTTCTTTCTATATTGTGTGAATGCCTTTCCTTAATTTGAGTCACAGCTTTTGATTGTAACACCTGATTATTAATTCACAGACAAACACACATTTCTTTCACAAGAGCCTCCTCCCTTCTAATTGAGAAGTCTGTTGCTCTTTGTGTTCCCCAGCCTGCCATGCCTCCACTGTGTGGCCTGGAGTTGTATGTCAGTATGGTCCAACAGCATAGCTTCCACCTGCCTGGTGTGGAACTGGGCCACCTGGCATTGCTCTCCTATAGCTGCCTGGCTTTTCTGCTATCATCTGACTCTGCATGATCCTGCCCAGGGGAGTAACAAGGAATAAGCCATCCCCAAATGCTGCCAAACTGACTCTGTCCCATACCCATACTTCAGGATCTGGTCACACTGGTTAATAGGCAAGGTAGCAGTGGTTCACACATGCAACAATGGGTCCAGTTGCAAAGTAGGTTCAACACAGGCTGTGAAATAACATCCAAACATCTGAATCCTAAGTGTGAATTCCAGTTCAACAGCACAGACATTTAAAATCTAATGCCTAAAGTCAGATTTTAGGCATCTGATTTTAATCATCTTGGGAAAGCAGAGGTTGCAGTAAGCTGAGACAGTGCCACTGTACTCCAGCCTGGGTGAAAGAGTGAGACACTGTCTCAAAGAAAAAAAAAAGTGTATGTCCTATGTCCTTCAATATTTGGTGCAATGTTAAAATTAATTTTAACCTTTTCACAGTGTTTCAAGCAATCCCTTGGTCAGGGACTTCCCTCAGGGAATAGATAAAGCCAAACTAAGCTTCCTCCTTCTGCATGGTAGAGAAACCTTATATATCAAAAGCAAATTATTACATTTTAACATAGAAAATTACAGAAACACAGCACCCTTTTAATAGAACCACAAATGAAGTGAAGGTTGTTTATATATGAGAATAAGATGAACTAAGCTTATTGAAAATGTAGACTTCAAACTCTGTTTTTTCACTGAACTATATAAGGCAAAACAAAGGGGAGTGGTGATAAAAGGTGGGGAGGAGGGGAGTGAGAAAAGACAGGAGAAATGTATGATCATCACTGTTCTACAGAACCAGTCATAAATCCATTGTTCTCAAGGAAACCAGTGTACTTTACATTGTCTGATCATTCTGATAGTAGATATGGCCAAGTATAACTGAAGCCTAATACACTTAAATGAGCATTTTTCAACAGAAGCATAAAAAATGTGTTTATTATCCTGACAGTCCCCTCCCCCCCTCCCCAGTGCAGTGGTCCTCTTCTGCATCTCATTTTTTAATTGAGTGCTTCAGATGTTGAAGGCTGGACTAGTCAGGCACATAAGACAGAGAATGGGGTAGGGCAGAGCTCGCAAGAGAACCCTTCTTCTCACGTTGGGCATATCCTAATGCAGGACCAGAGCCAGGAAGAGTGGTACTACTTGTAGTTATTGACTAGCTTATGATTGTGCTTTTTTTTTTTTCATTTTGTTTCTCTCTACCTTTTTTTTTCAGATGGAGTCTAGTGTTGTTGCCTGGGCTGGAGTGCAGTAGTGTCATCTTGGCTCACTGCAACCTCCTCCTCCCGGGTTCAACCGATTCTCCTGCCTCAGCCTCCTGAGTATCTGGGATTACAGGTGCCCACCACCACGCCTGGCTAATTTTTTATATTTTTAGTAGACACAGGTTTTACCACATAGGCCATGCTGGTCTCAAACTCCTGACCTCAAGTGATTCACCCACCTCAGCCTCCCAAAGTGCTGTGATTACAGGTATGAGCCACCACGCCTGGCCTGTTTCTCTCTATATTTTACTCTGTTAGCTCCGTAAGTTCAAGTGTCCATGATGTTCATGGTGTATACCCCCCAGAGACAGACCCTCGCACATAGTAAGCATCAGTAAATACTTGTGGAATCAATGAAGGAAAGAAGTGATAAACTCACACCTAAGGGAATTAAGTGATTCTTATTACTTCTGGAGTATCCCTAATGGCCCTAAACAGGATGCTAGTAACATTCTCCAACATGTATTCATCAAACATTCAATGAGTACATATTATTTGTGTATAATGAGGCATTACCTGCCATTCTTAGTGCACTCCACTTCTCATTTTGTCCATTCAAATATCATCTTCCTCCAAAAGTTGAAGCTGAAGCAATCCTGTTCCCAATTCCAGAATGAAGTTCCACAACGTTAGTATTTTTAAAAGTATTTTTCCAAGGAAGGGCTGTCTGTTTGGCTACGGAAAGCACTCCTGAGCGGGCACCAACTACCTTTATGATTAATTGGCTTAAAAAGTTACCATATAGTTCACATATGTTCTTATTAGTACATCAGAAGATATCTTCACTAGATGGAAGTAGTTTTTCTACTTAATGTGTTTTAGGTTATTATTGTTATGGGAATGTTAGTGAAAATCAGGCAAAGGAAAGGGGGAAATATTTCAAGGACGTAGCCTTTCCCCCCTTCCTTTTAATTAATTTATTTCCTCAGAGAAAAGTAGCAATTGATCTCAAACCAGTATAGTGGCCTCTGCTGTTTCTGTGTCTAATTCTGGAAGTAAACTTTAAGAAAAGATTTTTAAAAATAAACAGGCTAAGTACTACACAATTGTTGTCTTAAAGGAGACTTTTTTTTTTTTTGCATCTTTTGTGATGTATGAAGAAGAAAAATTATATGATACTCTTTAGAACCACATTTTATCTATCATATGGCAACTGTGACTCTGAATGAAGAAAGTATGCACAGGATGTTTGAAAAAATTATTGTGAGACATCATCTTCTTGAATGGACTCTCAACACGGTTTAGCTGTCTCTTTCAGGCAAATGGGGGACTCCTTTGGGATTCAGAAAATGTTTCCCATTCTAATACAGGTCTTTGTAGGACATCTAGAACAGCGGAAGGAAATAAAAATATTTTCCCAAGGCAGAAGACTTCTGGTCAATAGCAACAATGTGGAATCTGGAAGGATTCCAATCAGCTTACTTGAAGTAAAGTAATTCCAAGTCTTATTTTTAAAACATATCTTTCACTCATGTAGGCAACATGGACAATAATTGATAAATGTCATGAACATGGCAATATGGATCATATGAGATAAAATATTCTCTTTGAGAGCAAGTTCATTTTTAAATTCTTAATGTCCTCCACTCTCAATTTTATTTAGCTTATTGATAATGTTATGGTTTCACAGGTGATTTCATTGTTTCATGCACACGGATGAGATTTGAATTACATACTTTTAAAGTTGTATTAAAAGTCTATTTCAAATCCCTCTCAATAAGAATTACTGCTTGGGGTGGTTCTGACTCTCAGTGGAGTATAGTAACCTTCATTTGCATCCTTGAACAGGGCTCTGCAGGAGTGAAATCCTTCCAGAGACCTCATTTGGAACCCTCAGCAGGCGTAAAATTATGAATGAAGCAAGAATTTCTTTTGTTTGTTTTTCTAGAAAAGAAAAGAGAGATGCTCTGCAAAATAAAAGAAAAAACTATATATATGGTAGCCTTTCTACCTCACCTCCTGCCTTGGTAAAGGAAAGGACAAAGAGTCAGGACTTTACTCTCTGGGGGCCTTAACAAAATCTCAGGAATTACAGAGTTCACAGTACCCTCTCTGGGCCTCAGTTTCCCTATGTGTTAGAGAAGATCCACTTCATAAAGTAGTTTAAATAAAATGTAAAGCACTGGAACAAAACTTGGCACATATTAAGTGCTTAGTAAGTATTAGTTCATGTTAAAAGTAGAAATGACCTTCTATAATGTTGATTGTAAGAGTTAATGTTTTGTTAGAATTTGTTCTAGATAGCTCAGTAATTATACAGGACTCTGGGGGTGGGGGAAGCATTTGGTCTGACACTTTCTATAGCTATTGTATCTTCTAGCAAACACCTATGATTGCTTACTGTTTATGAGCTACTCTGCTAGGAAAGACAGAAGCCAGGATCCAGAGCCTGCTGTCTAGGCGTTCATAGTCCAAAGAGAGAGTCATTCCTATCCAGTCATTGAAATGCAATGTGGCAAGTTCTGTAATAATAATAATTATACTGATTATTTACTGACTTTGTGTCTTGGGGTGGGTCAACACTTTACAAATACTGTCCTACTTTGCTCTCACAGCAGCTCTATAAAGGAGGTGTTATTATTACTGTTTCACAGATGAGGATATGGGTTCAGAAAGGCTAAATGATTTTCAGAGGTCACATAGCTAGCTGGTAGGGCTGGAATTAGGCTTTGGCTATTTAAATCCAAAAAATCATAACACTACTCTTCTTCCTTTAAATATTACATAGAAATAACTGTATGTAATTATTTTATTAAAATAATGAATATATTATTGTGTATAGATAGTACCAATATTTGGGAGCACTGAAGGACTAGCTGGTTAATTCTGCCTGAGGCCCCATAGGAGATGGTCAGTGAGGATGTGACATGTGAGTTAATCATCAGAACTATTTTCATGGATATGCCATGGATAAGTTTCAGGTATATGTTTTATTTGGTTTTCCTCCCTACCCAGGTGTCAGAAACCTGAATTTCAACCTTTTCTAATTGCAATACATTTTCAAGTTTATTTCATTTGGTCGTGGAATACATTTAGTCACTGAAGCTCTAATAATAACACCTTCCCATTTTCAAGAGAAAGCAAATCTCTCTCTCTCTCTCTCTTTCTTTCTCTCTCTCTCTCTCTCTCTCTCGCAAACACACACACACACACACACACACACACACACACACACACACACACACACTCATTCACTGCAGTATATCAGGGGTTTCTTTAAATAACAAATTCCAATAGATCATGATGCACTTTTACAGAGCATATGTAATGATACACACCAAATTGTTAACACTGATTACTTTTACAAGTTCTGAGTTTATGGGTACAATTTGTTTACTGCTATATTTTGCAAGTGTTCCCAATTAAACATTTATCACTTTTGCAATCAGATTATCCGTGTATTTAAAAACAGACAACTAACCTCCTACGTGTTGTCCTAAACTCAATGCATGTTCAGTGCAATCAGCTACAACTTGTCCTCATCTCCAGTAACAAGTTCCTTGAGGACAAGGACTCCATCCCCAGGAAGAGGTAGAAGCAAGGCCTTGTCCATGGTGGTGCTTGACAAATATTTATCTCTTGATGTGAAGAATGAATACTTGGGGGAAAACTATACACCTTATAAATGAAATCAGAGCTGAGAAACCCTTGAACTGATACTCCAGCTGATAATGTGTAAACAACTATTCACATCCTATTCCATAGGGTCTCTCTCAAAATATGTCTTGTTATATACAAAGTGCTTGGTAGAAAAAAAAGACGGTTACTGTGGAGCCTTGAATATCTTACAGCCTAGCTGTGGAGACCAGACGTGAAGGCAGGAAAAAATAGCAATATGGTGTGGAATGTGACTCTCTGTCCACAAACTCAAGTGGGCAAGAAATATAAGTCCATTTCTAATTTTATAAAGGTGTATTTTTTTTAACATAGAAAATAGTGAATGTCTACAAATAATATCAGGTTTAGATTCATCCGAGTGGCAGAAATATAATACTAGGCATTTGAAAGACCTCCCCCTCTCCTCTTCCATAGCGTCTGGCCTAAGTTTGAAGGGGCCAAGGTGCTAGGAAAAGTAGACAGGTATCCAAGTTGTCATCTACTGAGATCTGTTGTCCCATTGGCCTGCAGAGATTGAACTACTCAGATTGCTGCTTGGATGGATCTTGCAACGATCCAAAGGGCTCCTTCTGGTCCAGTGACTATCCTTGCTGACAAAGTTCTTCCTAAGGCCCTTGCATGTCACTGGTCCTGGGGTGGGGTTTGAGGGGCTATCCAAGGGCCTTCAGCAATTCTGTGTTCTTCATGAGCATACTGGAATCATTCCCTAGGTGCACATCAAGTTGGGCTGGGGACGCTCTGGAGGCAGCCTCAGGCCCATGCATCTAGACAAACTCTGTAGCCACACCCCATAGCCATTTCTATTCTGACATCTTGAAGCTTCTTCAAGCTCTCTGTGCAACTAAGGGCAGCAATCTCTACTTCCCTGAGATTGCTGTTGTCTCCCATCCAAAACAAACCAGCAGCTCATGTTTTTTATATCCCCTCTGATAGTCAGGGATGCTTACTGCTCTTGACCCGTCAAATGATCCTTTGCAGTGGGAAATGTTGTTCCTGCGTCATTGCGTATCCTCTCAAATCTATTAACTTCTCCTGAGAATGCCTTGTTCCCTGTAGGCTTTATATATTTGAACTTAAGTCAGAGAAACACTTCTTTTTTTTTTTTTTTCCTCTGAGCCAGTAGATGGCCCATTGTCTAGCAGCAAAATGGAAGAAGGGCCATAGGGTTACAAGAAAATACACACACACAAAATCCTCAGGTAATAGGTTAAGGCATCGTGATACCAATGAATACTCAAGATACTCACAGAAGAGATGGGCAGGCCTAGACTTGAGACAGGCTCGGGCCTGCTGAGAAACTGACCTTCTCTTCACTTAGTCTGGCAGTCAATACTCAGAAAGTGCAGGGTCTGTTCTGGAACCACTGCTTGTGAACAGCCTTACGTGTAGTTAGAATTTCCACAATGGCCAGGCAGGAGGAGAGACTGGAATAGAATAAGGCTCTTGTAATTGTGGAGGAGACCATCTGGCTCTGGCACAACCCTCATTCCGTGGGAGAAACCTCAGGGGAGACTTCAGGGCGTACCAAACCTCCAGACCTCCATGCCGTGTTTCTTCCTGTTTTCTATCATCATCTCTTTAAATTTTTGTCTTCTTCACCACCTGTTGTATCTGTTGGTGTCCTTCACCCACTATGACATACATGAAAATGTCACAGAGGCATAAAGTTTAATGAATACATTTTATAAATATTAATATCAATGTTGTTATTTTTAGTAGGTTCAATTAAGGACTTCGGTCAAGTTGCTTAACTCCTTTATTTGTCCACTCATCTAACAAACATTTATTAAGCACTTACTATGTGCTAGGCACAGTGCTGGTTGTGGGAATATAATAAGTAGCAAAACCTACATCGTTGCTACGCTTCTGGGGCTTATACATTTGTGGGAGAAATACAAAAATAATTTTTTTAAAATCACACAAATACAAATAACTTGTAATGATTGCTATGAAGGAAAAGTTTATGGAGCCACTCTGAGGACAAAGGAGGCTCTTTTTGAGGCGGTGACATTAACCTGATACCTAAATGCTGAAAATTGAGTTAACTTGATAAAGCTTTTGTGCTAGGTGAGGGCATCAGCATTTCAGGCCCAGAAAACAGCACTTGAAAAGACCAGAGTGTCTGGGAAGAAGCGTCATGAGGTGAAGCCAGAAGGAATGAGCAGGCCTTATAGACCATGTTAAGGATTTGAAAAATATTTTTACTCAGAGCAACTGGAAAGCTTTATATGCAAGCATGACACATGCAAATTTGCATTTTAAAAGGTAGCTTCCTCACTCTATTGTCTAATATTCATCAGTCCCTGATCCCTTCACTTTTCTCTCTATCTAGCTAAGATCCCATGGCCGACACTTAAACCACTCTCATTAATATCCGAAAAGCCCAGGGGAAATTGCCATTTATAAAACCACCAGGTCTCATGGCGGAATCCACCCCCATGATGCAATCACCTCCTTCCAGGTCTCTCCCTCAACACCTGGGGATTATAATTTAAAATGAGATTTGGGTAGGGACACAAAGCCTAACCAAATCAAACCCAGTGTGTAGCAGAGCATCTGGCATAGAGCAGACACACAATAAAAATGTAAGCAAGTGAATCCAGCTATATTCAGAATGTAACATCATCATTTTCTCACATTACATTTAGCTTTTCAACTCATTGCAATCTGGCTTCTGCCTTTAGTGTTCCACATAAACTGGTCTTGTTAAGGTCACCAATGGCCTCTTTGTCCCCAAATCCAAAAACATGTTTTAGTTCTCATCATCTTTGACTTTTCAGGAGCTTTCAATACCATTGACCACTTCCTCTTTCTTGATTATTTTTGGGGGAGGGCACTTGTGCCTTCTGATTTTACTCTTATACCTCTGACTATTCTTTCTGTTTTCATTACTGAATATTGATCCCTCATCTCTATTAATGTAGAAAAGGCTGGGGTTCCCTAGAATTGCAACCCAGGACATCTTCTCTTCTCACTCTTGTCTTTCTCCCTAGAAGGTCTCATCATGCTTCAATTTATAGCTATGCTGACAACTCTTAAACCTGCTTAAACAACCCCAGTCTCCTTTTGAGCTCCATACATAGAAGTACTTTCTCAACAGTCTCTCTTGAATATACCTTTGGCTTCAAACTCATCCTATCCTGAAATAAACACATTAACTTAAACTTCCAAAACTGCTACTTCTCCAGTGTTCTCTGGGTCTTGCAAAATGGTGATACCATCAACACTCTTGTTTAAGTCAGACACCTAGACTCCTCCCTTCCACACATCTAGTCAACAGATCTTGTCAAGTGCACATGCCTTAAGTGTCTCTCAAAGCCATTTACTCCCTGCCACACTGGTTCAAGCCACCATCATAATCAGGCTGAAATAATACAAAAGGCTTTGCCTTGGATGCTCCCAATTCAGTCTTACCGCATCAAACTAGCCTCTTTATCTCTTCATTTCAGTCGTAATGACCTTTTCTTTTAATTTAATTTTTTAGAGACAGGGTTTCACTCTCACTCAGGCTGAAATACAGTGGCAGGATGACAGCTTGTTGCAGGCTCAACCTTCTGGGCTCAAGCAATCCTCTCACTTCAGCCCTCGCCCTCCCCCCGCAAGTAGTTGAGACTGCAGGCATGTGGCACCACACCCAGCTAATTAAAATAAATTGTGGAGAGAGGTTTTTACCATGTTGCCCAGGCTGGTCTTGAACTGCTGGCCTCAAGCCATCCTCCCACCTGGCCTCCCAAGCTGCATAATGACCTTTTAAAAAATGCAGTTCTTAGAGTAACAGTATCTGATGTCACTTCCTCGTTTAAAACCCTTTAATACTTCTTCCTGCCCAGTAAGTAACCTCTCCATCTGCCAGCCTCTCTGTCCCACTTTTTCTCTCCTTCAGCTACACTGGACTTTTCTTAGGTGTTTGAGTTTAGCAGGCTTTTTTCCACTTTAAGATCTGTGCAAATGCCAATTCATTTGCCTGGAATGCCTACCCACTTTCTTTTTGCTTCATTACCTGATTCTCTACCACCGCTTCCTCTTGGAAGCCTTCCCTGGCCTCCACAGTTTAGGTCTGTCTGTTTTACATTTCTTTGTACATTTATAATTGTTTACTTTTTTTTTGAGATGGAGTTTCGCTCTTCTTGACCAGGCTGGAGTGCAATGGTGCGATCTTGGCTCGCTGCAACCTCCGCCTCTTAGGTTCAAGCTATTGTCCTGTCTCAGCCTCCTGAGTAGCTGGGATTACAGGCAGGCGCTGCTATAGCTGGCTAATTTTGTATTTTTAATAGAGATGAGTTTTCTCCATGTTGGTCAACCTGGTCTTGAACTTCGGACCTCAGGTGATCTGCCCGCCTTGGCCTCTCAAAGTGCTGGAATTACAGGCATGAGCCATGGCAGCTGGCCTGTTTACTTTTATGTCTTTATTTGTTTATCTTCCCTGCTAGATTATAAGCTTCATGGGAATGGGGTTAGGACCTTGCTCATCTTTGCATCTTTGCAGCAATAGCACCTAGAGAAATAACTAGCTAACTAGAGATGCTAAATCAATATTTATTGCTCTTATGATTAGTTTCAATCTAGTAAATAGTCATAACTTTACTTTACCATTTAACACGGAAACTTGGTAGGGTGCAGTGGCTCATGCTTATAATCCCGGCAATTTGGGAGGCTGAGGTGGGAAAAGCCACTTGAGGCCAGGAGTTCAAAACCAGCCTGGGCAACACAGCAAGACTCCATCTCTACAAAAAACAAAATAAAACGTAGCCAGGTGTGGCGGTGCATGCTTATAGTTCCAGCTACTTGGGAGGTCAAGGCAGGAGGATCACTTGAGCCCAGGAGTTCAAGGCTTCAGTGAGCCATGATTGTGCCACTGCGCTCTAGCCCAGGTAACAGTCAGACCCTATCTCTAGAAAATAAACAAACAAACAGTAACAACAAAAAGAGCCTGAAACTCAAGTTCATCTCTTTGATGAACTTGCAAGTAAAATTTTAATTGCATTTTAATGCCAGCTATTAAAGGGTCACATAATTAATTCAATTTGCTAGAATGTTTATCTGGGCCCCCTGTGAGCAGAGGACTGTTTGTTATAACAGGTGATTGAAAATGAGGTTGGTATAATAATTTCACACATGAGGATCTCAGAGCATAGAAAGGTTAAGTAACTTGCCTAAGTCATACAACTAGTGACTGGTAGGGCTAGGATTTGAGGAAATCTGCATTTGAATTTGGATTTGAAACAGAATGCTATATCCATCAACTACACCATACTGCTATGCAGCTGAGAGCTTCCTGTCCTTTATAGCAAAATAGGCAGAGTGGTGCACTTGTAGGTGTCTGACAGCTCAACTCACCCTGGATAAGAAGCTGTAGGTCCAGGAAACTAAAAGTACTTGAATCTTTTTGCCAAGGGTGCTGAGGACACAATTGGAAGTGTTTCCCCCCTCAATCTATGTCCCTCATCTAGAGGGTTGAGTGCCACCTGGTGGACATAGCTTTGGGCTGTCTTAAGTCTCCAATATACGTATTTAACCGTGAATGTAGCTCCACATCCACATAGGAACAAATTAAACAGACTGTTATTCACTGGTAAACTTAGGCACTGTGAAGGGCGTCTGAGGGATGAATTCCTCCTTTTTTCGCCTTCTGTTTGCATTTAATTTTTGTTGCATCTACAATGAAGTTTAATTAAAAATGAATAGAAGGAACTTTTTTTTTGTCATTGCCATTCAGCACCTTTGTCTTTTTTAATAGTAAGAGAGGAAATTTATAATTAGGCAGACTTAAGTTCTCTGCCTTGTTTTCTTTATTTGTAAATGGACTGGTAGTGAGAATTAAATAATCTGTATAAAGTGATGGGACAGTGCCCAGCACGAAATAAGCATTCAGTAAGTGTTGTCTATTACTTACATTATCCCACAGAAAAATTGGATTCCTTTCCAGAGGTTAAGTCAAAGATAAACATGGATGCTTCAACATCATTCCTTTTGAAAACAAAGACAGCACAAGACAGAAGCTTAAATATTACAACTAGGCATCAAATTATGGATTAAAGTTTTCATTTATTCTATATATATTTCCTGATTCTCTACTGTATGCTAAGAGAGTCTGGAAAGCACTGGCGAGGGACAAGGGTTCCTTCCCCCAAATAACTTAGAGTCTTGAGACAGCCTTTATTTGCCACCAGAGGTGCCTAAGCAGTTTTATGGGGAAGGTTAGTGAGAGATGAGGTCACAGTTGTAATTGGGAAGGTGGAGTTTGTTCCTAGTAGCCCTGGTCAATGCTCCCCCTCCTCCACAGGATCCTCCTTTTCCAGGTAACTTCCTTTACCACCTTAAAATTCCTCTCCTTTTCAACAACTGCCAACGAATCCATGCCAAAATGTTGGCATGGATTACCTATTAACTATTACCTTTTATGCTACTACTTAGTTAAATTATCCTTCAAAGGAGTATCTGGATTTTAAGAGAGGACTTAAGATTTTCTCACAGTCTGGGCTCCCAACCAAAAGACCACCGAATGTCCTTTTTGACCTTAACATTTTTTAGTTAAAAAGTTAGTTAAACAAATACACAAACAAAATTCTCAAGTAATAGGTGGAGCATCTATAACCTGGTCTACAGAATGGTGGCCAAATGATCATTAGAA